ACATGGCAAAGCAAACTTCGTCATAGTTCCGTCCACTTTGTTTATTTTTATTTGGACGAGATGACCCAGATAGACAAACACATCACATGGAAGTGGAAAAGCACTTGTTTCAAGTGGAAGTCATGGGCTTGGATGACATAGGACATAGGTGCTGGCTAAAATCCGGCCAGTACAAAACACGTTTAAATGTTGAGAAGAGACGAAGAGGAAGTGCATATTATGCAGTATGACCACCAGGATCTTTTTGAGAACACATTGCACCAACCTAGGAAAAAACGCTTTTGTTGTGAATGGATGCCATGAGCCATTCCCTAGGGATCCACATACCTTCTCAGAAGGTACTTGGGCCCTCCAAGCCTACATACATAGTCCCCAATCACCGTACCTGAGAAGGTACGACTGGACCCCTAGGGAATAGAAATGGGTCATGCGCTCGCAGCCAGTGGATATGTTTAAAATGAATAGTGCGTTGTGTTGTTGATGCAGTTCCCCCCGGGATTTGTTCAAACAGGTTGCAGTTAGAAGCCCGGCAGCCAGAAAGAGTGGTAAGAATGATGTGGAATCGTTTTCAGAGGTTGGAAGCACTGACCCAATGAACATCAACAATCAATTGCTAGTAACAAGTGCCACGCTAGTAGTAACAAGTGCCTTACTAGTAGTAACAAGAAGCTATTAGAAACAAGTGCATCGCTACTACTAACAAGTGCCTTACTACTAGCTTCTTGTTACTACTAGTAAGGCACCTGTTACTACTAGCGTGGCACTTGTTCCTAGTAGCTTCTTGTTGGAAGCACTGACCCGATGAACATCAACAATCAATTGTGGGATGAGCATCATCCTCTAGCATCATCCTATATGTTATCATCATTGGCGAACGGACCACGAGTGAAGCCTGGATATCAAGCCCAAGGAGTTGGGTGCTCGAAGTCATGATTCCTTGGGGTTTTAGGGGGCGCCAAGTTGAAAGGCGCCTGATTGGTGCTTTTCTGTTCCTTCCTATTTGAACATCAGCAACACATACTGTACTGCTATCTCCGGAATCCTCAGAAACTGTTCTTCATTGGGACACCATGGAGTTGGTTGCAAGTGGTGTCCGGACGGGGGTCTTCTAGGCGCGAGCCACGTGCCAGTGCCAGCCACGTTTCCGTTTCCTCAGTGAGTGCTTTCTGTGCCTGGTGATCCGGTGCATACAGTAGATGTTGCAAAATAGGGACATTTCCAAGACCGTGCCCCAGCAGAGTGTAGATATATATATATTGTAACAATAATAGTGTTTTGTTTGCAGCATTCCAATCAATGAACAAAACATGTTTACAGCAAACCCCCTTAATGACCCAACAGAAGCGACAGGGACTGGGTGGACATGTTGGGACTGAGTCGACGAATGGCTTTTCGTGCACAGAGGTGAACGGGAAACAAACAACAAGATCAACGAGTAAACACGAAGCAGAGGGGTTTCCAAATCAACCGATCGAACTGAATTCATCATCCAACTCAGCCGTTCGATGCAGATTTCTTGAAAACACAGCTGAAAGGGGAAAGGTTTGTTCTTGAAGTCGTGCCAGAGATCACTGACCGCGAACTTAAGCAGCAGATCAAAGAGTGCCTGACTTGGGACAATGAGTTAACCTGCCGAACAACCGCGGTGGAGCTGGTTGCCGAAGACGGCCAGATGCTGCTGAATGATGAGACAATTGCTGATGTGGGTCTTTCTCCAGATTCCGATGTGAGAGTAATTTTCAAAGAAAACTCTGTGACATGCTCCCACACAGGCGAACTTACTGCTCTTGACCATCAGATTGACCTGGAGCCTTTGATTGCGCTGGAAATCCCAGAGAATGTGACAGAATTATTCCTGGTGCTTTCATGAACTGCAGCATGTTGGCAAAGCTGGCCATTCATAACTCAGTGATCCAAATCGGCAAGTCTGCCTTTGAAAACTGCTGCTTTTTGGAAAATGCATGTCTATCCCCAACTCAGTGATCCGCATAGGTGACGGTGCCTTCTGGGAGTGCAGTTCTTTGACAAGTGTGGTCATACGGTACACCCGCGACCAACATCGGTGATCAGGCCTTTGGAAGTTGCACGTCCTTGGAAAGTGTGAGTATCCCAAACTCAATAACCCTTATTGAAAACATTTGAAAACTGTGCATTTGCAAACTGCAGCAGTTTGACCAGTGTGTTCCTCCCTCCTTCAGTTACCCGCATTGAGGATCATGCCTTTGTCAACTGCGACTCTTTGAGAAGTGTGACTATCCCTGACTCGGTTACCTCCATTTCTAATGGTGCATTTATTTGCAAACCGCCCCGCTTTGACAGATCTCACCATCCCTGACTCCGTAACCCACATTGGGATTCGTGCCTTTGCAGGCTGCATCTCTTTGGCAAAGGTCGTAATCCCTGACTCATTGACCTGCATTAGGGATCATGCTACTTTCGCAAACTGCACTGCTTTGGGCAAGTGCGACCATTCCTGACTCAGTAACCCACATTGGGATTTAGTGCCTTTGCAAACTGCAGCTCGTTGGTAAATCTGGCCATCCCTAGCTTGGCAAGCGTGCCTTTGGAGATTGCTGCTCTTTAGCTGCCCAAGCAGGTCACTCAAAGTCATTGAACCTGATCGATCAATGTGATCAGCAAGGTGGTCGATGCCTTGTTTTGTGACTAGCTCCAGAATCTATCCGACCACCGAGTCTTCGACTGCAATCCAATGCAACGCAATCGAAGACGGTCGGTCAGGAGTCAAGAGTCAATACAGAAGATCCACGTGCTCTCGCCTACGAGCCCAACGCCTTCGTCGACCACCACCAATGCGAGCACGAAGCACGAGCTTCTCCCATGGCTTCCGAAGTCTGCCCTCCATTAGAAGCCCTCGGGAGCCAGGGATTTTCGTGAAAGTCTGGGTCGCATGATGTCGCATGGCTCCAGCAGATCACGGGCATTCTTCCACGCCCAAAAGATCATGCGGCCAAAGGCAAGCGCTGAGCGTGGGAGCAGTCGGATCGCAGGTTCAGAGACCGCGTCCGCTTTTTGAGAGGAGGACAATGGCGTCCGCTCAGCACATGGAGGGATTTGTTGAGCGTTCGATCTCGAGTTCTGAAATGCAATGGTGTGCATCCATATGGATTCTTTGATCACAGAGAATATCTGGAGTCTTCACAGCATGGGTGTCCAACGCTTGATATATATATATATATATGTATTATAGCTGAAGCCATGAGCACTGAAGAGATCGCGCGAGTCTTTTACTGTGCAGTGGGGAAGATTCGTACTGCTCAGCTGTAGGCTGTAGGTGTTTTGTCTTTGGACTCAAAAACCGCAGCCCAGGTGAAGCACCTCCGTTTCCCGCGCTGGCTTCCGCCGCTGCGAGTTCGATGAGGGGGTGTGAAGGCCCAAACGGTGGTGGTGGTGGTGGTGGTCAGAGTCTGAGGATGAAGGAACATTCACAAAATCCCAGAGACTCAGACCATGAGGAAGAGAGCCCGGTGTCCTATTTTTGGCAGTCAATGAAGTAGCTCAAGTGGCGGGAGAACAGCTCGATTGGACCCCAACGCGAAAAGCACGCTCCGAGCTAGGTTTGACTGCGAGCATAGCCTGCGGGTCACGGTACACTCCAATGTAGGGGTACACTCCAATGTAGGGCAATCCGGAAATCAAACAATATTTTGTAGCTGAAGCACAGGTTAAGCGGTTAACCTGAGCATGTTGTGGAAACTCAGGGCGCACCCGCTGAACTCTGCCAGGAGAAGGACTGGACTGGGCCTGTGAGCAGAAGCTGCTTGCTGAGCCCTGTTGGGCTGATTGTTTTTTTTTTCCATGTAGAAGTTGCTGTCCGGTTTGGCAGGTCTAAACAGCTGCGTTGGGATATTAGATGAGTAGTGACGGATGGTTATGTCGCCCTGCTCCACCTTAAAGACACTTGAGTCACTTGAGCAATACTGAATTTGGACGTGCAGTCCCTTGGTGATTGGTAACAGCCGATGGTGATCCGGAGAGCTGCATCGTACGTACTGACATGAGTACTACGTGTTCCTAAGTCCAGTAGGAAGGAGGATCTAGCGGATCAAAGAACAACACACCGCACCCGTCACCTTTCAGCAGCAACGCTTGAGCCACACACGATGTACGATGTCGTTGGGGGTTGTGGTGGATTCCAGCAGGAGCAGATTCGACCCAATGGGTGTGTCTTTAAATAGGTAGACGCCAGTGGAGACGTTTTGGGGAGGTCTTTCTATAGGCCGAATGCGACAGGCCACTTGTATTTCGCAGCTCTGACAGGATGTTGGACTGATCTCCGCGGATCGTGGGTGGAAAGGACCCTCTTGGTGCGTGCTTTTTTGCGGGCCAGACATGGGTTTCTCTGAAAGGACTTGGAGAGAGATCTGTTCACCGAACGCGGTGAATTGTGTACCATGTTTCAGAGACCTCCATTTGCCTGCATGTGCCCTGTTTGGACTTGGGAGACAGGCCTGATTTTCCAGGATGGCCAACCATGTCCATTTTCGGTCCGGGCACGCGCGTCCATGCGCCGCCTCTTTCTCACACAGGTAGCAGAAAAAGGACCTGCTGGTTAATTTGTTCACTATTCAACAGTTGTCCATCTCCAACCTAAGCCTGCTCCTTCCTGTGCTTTTTGCTTCAATGAACCACTCTGTCTCTTTTCGGCTTGGATCATTTGGGGGCCGTTGACCAGGGGATGTGCTTTCTTCTCGCCTGCAAGAGGTTCATCAATCTTCGCAAGCCAGTAGGGTCCAAAAATGGACCGACTAGTAACAGCTCCTGGCATTTCTACTAGGAACACAGGTTATCGCTACGAGCGGAGCGATCGGACGCGAACCTACAGTAGGTCGTACCGGAGCCCGGTCGTACCGGAGCCCGGCACCGTCCCGGAGCCGGGTCGGCTCCCAACACCGGGTTCACTCCACACGGAAAACATGTGGTTAACTCGGTTTAATTTTGCACCCCGGAACTCGTGACGACGTGTGACGTGTGTTTTTCAGGTGAAGAGAACTTCATTGGACAAGGTCCACATTGTTGGTGGTGCAGCCGCTGGAGTTCATAAAGAAGGCGGGGATGCACCAGGGACGGTCCCTGGTCAGTGCTCTTTGAATGAGGGCAGGGTACCTAATTACCGCAGGGCTACTTTCCAAAGCAGCAAAGGGCATAAAATAAAATACCAGTTCTCCCCACAGCTTGGGTGGTAACTTCTTCGAATATCGCCGTGTTGACGGGTGGCCGTGATGCTGTGTTGCAGTGAGTTCAAGGGTTGGTGACTTAGTTCCCTGGACCAAGCGGTTTGGTGGCTCAAAACGGCAGCAGTGTCTCAATCCACCACAAGCGTGGGCGCCTTTTTGGGACAATATGGGACAATTCTAGGTTTGGACTGGACTCCATGTTGATGACAGGATACCTTCATGGAAGTATAGCGAACATTCTGTTTGTCAAGAGAAAACTGTATTCCCAGAGGCCATGTTCATCCATTGTCCACTTCTGTGTGAGGTGTGTGTGTAAGCAGCTAAGCCCATGACGCGAGTTCCCATTGCATGTTCTTCTCACCTCCCACTGTCCTCAGATATCCTCATATGCATTCATATGCAGATATATAATCAAAGATCATCATTTGCCCATGAGGCCCAGGCTGCACAAAGAGTGAGGGTGAACTGTTTACCCAAGGAATCACACCTGGAAAAGTAACAGAGAGACTGAAATGGTTTCCTCAAAGATGATGTGTGTTGTTCATCTACAGAGAAGGGTGTTTGAAGGTGGCTGGGGGGAGCATGGTATTCGCGCATGATTGGAGGTTGATGGTGGCAGGTGCACCCTGAATCCCTTCAACTGCTGTTCAGGCTACATCGAACATGATCAAGAGACTGGTCAGAAGAAGATGGTGGTCTATCTTCGAGACAAAGGCCCCAATGAAGCTTGGCAGCTTGGAATCCTTGGGCCACAGCTCAGACAAGGAGGCCCAGAGCAGTTTGGTTGCCATCCAGCGGTTGTCGGACCATGTGAGATGTCAAAGGTTGTGCAACGACACACACACACACACACAAATTGCGATGTCATGATTGGAGTTCCTTTTTCCCGGAGAACTCTTCCTGCGGTCTGACATCACGCCCTTACACACCCTATCGCAAGCTGAACTGGCCTTGTGGTTCACCTCGTTGCTGTTCCGCACCGAACGGCCAGCGGATGTTGAAGGGCATCCCTTTCAAAAGGAGTTTGAGCTGATTCCCTGTGACTAGTAGCGATGCCCTTGTTACTAGCAGTAATGCCCTTGTGACCAGTGGCGATGCCCTGGTTACTAGCTTCAAAGTCTCCAGGCCAAACCGCACGAAGGTTACACACCCAGCGACCGGAGCTCGTTCCGTTTTCCACCGTGCAGCGGGGGCGCGACCACCCCGGTGCGACTCCGGTGTGTCGCAGCAGCAATCCGGTTGTCCAAGACTTTACACAGGACGTGTTTCTATTCGTTTGGAGACCATGTCCGCCAGGGATGGCGTCTCAGTGGTATGAGGACTTCCTGAACCCAACTTTCAGGATCAGCAAGCATCGGCAAGCCGTTGTTGAACCACAGATTACACACTACGCGGATGACCGATGATCAAGACTAGACAGGGTATCTTAAGTAATGGAATAACACCACCAGGACTGGTGTTAATTTTTGGAAGGGTCAGGATTGGATGGGGCAAGCTGGGAGCTGCCAGTAGAGTCAGTAGAGACTTGGAATCACAGAAACCTCCCACGTGAGTGTCATTTTATATCGAAATAAAATTATATAGGTTATGTATGGTTATGTGTTTGTTTGTTTGTTTGTTTGTTTGACATATCATGTATACATGTATAGTACAGTCATTTATGTCGTCATAATGTGTCATTAGTAATGTATAAATATATATATATATATGTATGTATATATATATATATGTATACACACAATAACATTCATTGCAATGCATACCAGCATACACCATTCTTTCTCAGGCAACTTTTGTGTTCCTTGTGTTCCGACCAAGGACAAGCCCAATGTTCCAACGGCACTTTGGCTGCGTTTCGGCTCGTGGGCAGCACCAGCCTCATGCTTCGATCACCTGTTTGGATATGGGGCTTAGTCAGAGGCCATCCCTCGCTGCGGTCGAAGGGTCCGCAGCCGCGAGCTCGCTAAGCTTTTTCAGCAAGAGCCTCAATGGCTTTTAAAAGATGAGGATGTGATCGAATGGTGTCACCTTTGTGCCTGGTTTTGGGGCTTTAACTACATCATTTGAAGGTGGTTAGACCCTCCAAACCCACCCCACGATGTTTGAGGAGGTAGTTGTAGCTCGGTGTTTTGCGACGGGACTCACTTCTTTTCCCCGTGGGACTCACTTGCCCAAGGGACTCTTGGAGTGGCTTCGCTTTGCACCCACCTCAGACGAGGCCTTTAATCTTCAACTTTCTGCCCTGGGGATGAAGGTTTGTGTGATTCCAACAGGTTACGACAGGTGCATCAGTTGTGTTTTGCGGATGTTTTTGGTTTAAAAGGATCAGGATGTACGAGGCTTTTCATGAGGAACGAGGCCTCTCACCTCGATATAAGGAACTCATCAAGGCGAGGCCAAATTTTTGTAAAACCAAATTCAGACGACTTTTCATGGTGAACTTGCATCCACAATCTCCACAGTGAACCCAGGTGGTTTCAACTTGGTGCAGGAGTTCTGGGTTTCCTGATGTTTCCTGCCCCCCATATTTTCTCAAGCTTCTTCTCAGTCAAAACCCATGTCATCCTCCACACTGGATGGGCAGCCTCGCGACATAGGTCCGCAATGGTCAATGCTCGTAGGTCGACCTCGGACTGGCCCGTAGAACAGGACACCTCTCATGGCTGGACTCTCCGGCTACTCCGCTGGCTCCATAAACGGTGTTCTTTTTGTTTCCCATCCAAAGACGCTTGTGAAAAGAAAGCATGGAAAGAACACTAGCCCTTTCTGTCTGATCTGGAGATATCTCGATCATGATGTTTCTGAGCCACGCCGCCACGCCACCACGCCGAGATTATTGAAAGCAAGAAGCATCAAATCGGCTGGGTTTGCACTGGGCTCCTCGGCACTCGCGGCAGTCAGCCCTTGTGGCGATGTCAGTCCAATGCTGTGGAATCTGAAAGGATTTGACGCATGCGTCCTCGAATAGTCTTTGCTTTCAGTGATGGTTCTTGTTTTGAATCATTGTCCTTCAGGATAAGACGCCACTCTGTAATAGACATGTAGAGGTAGCACGAGGCTCATGAGGTAACCAATACTAATCCATCATCATCTCTTCCACAGCCTGGGTAGTTGAGATTGGACCTCGAGATACACCTCGTGTGGCATCAGACCTTGCATTCGTTTGCTCAAATGAACATGGCTGTCGTTTCAGATCGCTCAGCCTGGGCTCGGCCTGAGCAAACAGATCTTGAGGGTTCAGGAAGGCTAATAGACACCCGCAACATGCAGTGACGGGTTTGTGCCATCTCAATATGCTGGAACAGCCTCCCCACAGACCCAAACTATCGGCCCCAGTCATTGGTAGGGATACCAATGAGTCAGACATAGTCAGACTCTAGACCTTCAAAGCAGTGGAGATGTTCAGTTCACCCTCCCATAAACACTGCATTGTTTGCATGCAGTACGCGGTACCCTCGTGCGCCGCGGAGGTTTTGCCATGCTATGACCTACAAGCTGGGAACCTTGCTATACTTCAGTTTCCTGGCTTCGGATTGGAGGTTGGAACGCGTTGGACATGCCTCCGGATGTGCAAAAGGTCGATTTCGGCCCAACACATGTTTGTTATGCTTGTCCCTTTGCTGGACCGGTAGTAGCAATATGTCCTTGGCTTTAAATACGCTCAACAGACATTTGATGTGTTAACAATGTTTATAACTTTGGTTCAATGCCGAGGACTAGAGTTCACATCTTTTGGGAAATCTAGAACATTCTTTGGCTGACTGTGCTGCTTTGGTCAGCTACAGCACGGAGTTTAGATTGTTCGTGTTCACCTGCATCTCTCAGTCAGGATGGAGTTGCCGTTGCACCCTCCCACCGGCTGCTTTGCCATCCCAAGGCTGGTATGTCTTCTTCACGCGACCCCTCCGCCACCTGACTGCAGATCTGTCAAGCCGCTCCGAGCAACGTTTCTGATGGTCATGGCTCCGAAGAGTTTGCTTCCCCTCTCCATTCGTCCATGTTTTCGTCCATGGCTTCGTGTGACGGTCCTGAACCTAAGTGCTCTTCTCGTCGAACGGTCCTCAGGAGCGAAGGTCCGAGCTTCGCTTCCTCCGAGTCAAGGACCAAGTCTCGCTTCGGCCGGTCGTTCTGCCTGCACCAGTTCGGTGTTTGTTGCGGTTCCCTGCAACTCCGGCAGGTCACGGACCATGAAGGGAATTCCATGGAAGGTCCAATCCGGGTCCCCTCAGGTGTTCAAAGTGGCACGCATCAAAGCACGCCATGTATTTGGTTGGGCAGACACCCCCAAGACTACCCCACGTATTGAACACGTCCGAACAGCTAATCGACTGACTATATCTGTTTGCTTTCTTTAGGAATGTACCCTAGACTCTAGACTCTTCAAACAAGTTGCCTTTTGCCTAGGAGCCCCTAGTAGCGCCCCTCTAGTAGTACGGCCAGGAGCCCCTAGTAGCGTCCTTGGTTCTAGTTGTCTTTTGCCTATGACGCGCCACGTGTCGCCGTTCTCATAGATCTCCCTGAGGCGTCACGGCAGAGGTCTTGCGCTTCATGGCCACAGATCCCACGATCAAGTTGAAGCGGGAGCAGTTCGATGAGGAGAGAGAGAGGGGAGAGAGAAAGAGAGAAAGAAAGATTATATAGAGAGCACCAGTCGGCCTGGTCTATGGTGTTTCAACCATCACATGCGTGGCGAATCCCATGCCATTTTTTACTTTTGGGGCCTTGGTGGCTATGGTTGCTGGATCCGACAGGTGACTGCAAGACTGGGCCCGGAAGAGCCTCTCTTTGACTGTAAAAAGGTATGAGATACTGTAACCACATCTAAAAGGTTATTGAAATATATTGAAGGATAGAACTAGTATAATGCCGACTCAGCCTCAAATCAGAGTCTCCAGGTTCCTAAGCAGCATTGTCCTTTGCAGATCGCCCAGATCACCGACGTCGTTTTTCTCTTCGTTCTCTCAGGAGACCGACGAGCAGGGCTGGTGGAAAGTCATCGCCAACGGGAGCTCTCTCTTTTGCACCTATGTGACCCACGAGTATGGCGGTGTCTGGACACTACCTGTGCGGACCGGACCGTGTGTGTGGTTGTGCCTGGTGGCGAGGTGGTGCACGGTGGCGAAAAGAAAGACATGAGCGCGAGCAGGAAGCAGCCTGTAAGATGGGTAGGTAATCTAACCAAACAAGCACTGTGAGCGTATGCTCTAAGGGAAGCGAAAGAAGAGCTGGTAGGTACAGTACAGTATTGTTCTCAACTGTTGACCATATTGCCACTGGGTGTGTCTTACAGGGAGATCCCTGTCAAGGCCTTGACTGCAGCAGTAGGGAAGATCAAGCACCAAACTCCATACGAAACAAGTCATTGAGTTCGCCGTTCTCGTCCATGTTTGGGTGCCCGCCTATACGTCGTGAGGCTACAGCAAGGACGCCTACGTGGATGTGATTTTGCAAGACACCAAATTCCGGCAAGCCTCGCAGGACCGTGCACAACACAGCGAAGCTTGCCGCGAGCAGGATATACAGCATAGGTATAATAGTATATTGCCAATGCTGTAGGCCTTCTGGCGTTCTTTGGTGGTGTAGGGGTCGGAGTCCTTGAACAGCATCCAAGAGTATACTTCTTTGGGATTCATCGGTTCTGTGGTGTGATTTGCGGAGCAAGCTTGTCCATTCCCACAACTCATATCAGTGGTGTGAATTTAAGCATAATAGACCATATCAGACAATAGACTTCTAAGTTGTTTGGTAGCCACTTCAGTAGACCTTCTGGTCTGCCAGTGGATCGATTGGCAATTTGAGGGAATTGTGTTGGATTGTGTCCCCGTCGATTCAAACGTCGATAGATGGAGGATAGGACTTTCGGGAGGATTTATTATACTTGGGTACTGTGGCAAAAGAATCCCAGTGACCCTTCGTCAAGATGCACCTTTGGTACCTTGATTCTCGTGGCTCGTGGCTCGCGGCTGACGCACGGAACCGGAAGCAGACACCAGAACATATCATGTGAGCCCCCCAGTGGATTTCTTTGTCACTACCACTATTTCAGGCAACCGCAAGTTTCTTTTGCGAGAATTACCTTGCCCAGATTGGTTCCTAGTGGAGGCCCGCTTGGATCTTGGTTCCAAATCACGTGCAGGATGCGGCCAATCAAATCTTGAGCGCTGGCGGTGTGATCTCCTTCCTGCATGGCATGACACGCTACATGGCGTGCATCAAGCGGAGCAGCGTGGGCTGTGGTCAGCCCTGAAATGAGGTCTGAAGGAGAACAATACTATCCCGGTTGTTGAAACCTTGTTTAACATTCACATGTGTATTGGAATAGGGAGGCCTTCTGACCACTGAGTCTTAAATAGTTGAGTGCTCCTCTTCCGATCCAATTCAAGAGTCTTCCCATAACTAACAAACGACACATTCCCTGTCTGATTGCTGGATTGATCCTGCAGGTTTAAAGGAATTCATTTCCAAGGATTCTACGAGATTGTGGCCACTTTGTTCATCATGCTCACCTCCACGATCTTGGGCTTTGTGGCCTCCAGACTGCATGGCTCATCTCGATGGGCGAGATCGACCAGTCTGGGTCGCGGAATAACTATATTATGGGGACTTCTTCTAGAACATAGCTGAAATCATGCTTTGAGGGACGGAACATGCGAAGACGTGGGGATCACATGGTTTTTTGGGCTTGGCAAAATCAGCAGGGCCAGCAATCGAAAGGATATGGAAAGACTATGACTATTGCCAACAATGGCTCAACCCTGGCAGCCAGTTTAGGAGAGACCTTTGACAAGACCAAGCAGAGAAAGAGGAGAGGAGGACCTGGTCGTGGGAGACTCAACATGTCTCACATAAGAAGAGCACAGATTTCGGTTTGCCCCTGGGAGTTGCAAAGAATCTCCTAGATCACCAGCCCAATGAATCTCGATGGGATCGACTGGGAGGAAACCCCTTCGGAACTCGAGTGGGATTTGAATAAATTTTGTTCGGAGATTGAGTAGGCCTGGGCATAACAACAGCATGTCGTGTATCGTAATATCGTAATCATTAGACCATGCTAGACTCCTAGACCATGCAAATGCGTGGCCTCGTTTCTTCATACCTTCGTTTAAACAAAAGCACACGGGCGGGGCATCTGACACATTGTCCTTTAATCTAGTGACTCTTGAGTCGATCCCTTTCTCTCCACAGCAATTTTTCACATCAGCCGACCCATCAGCCGCAACCGGCGATTCTCTTCGAGGTGATGGAGAACCTTCCAGCCTTCTCAGATACCAATTCGGGCTGGTCGCTCGACTTGAGAAGAAGTGAGGGGAAAGAAGATGAAAGAAGTGGTTTTGGTCCAGATCGCCAAAACATGCAGCGTGATCAGTATGAAGCGCATGCGCTTCTGCCTCATACTCACAGCTGATCGAAAAAACCTAGACCGACAGGGCTCAAGGCAGGGCCTCGGCACGCTTTTGGCTGTTTTTGTTTGACCGGGCAGTTCAGGACGTGCCGCTGTTTGCCTTCACCCACCATGAGCAAAATCTGTTCTTGTGGGCTTTCAAAGAGCTGGATAACTTCCATGAGCAGCCCCACGGAAACTCAATGAAGACCAGGTCTTTGCGCTCACTCACGGACCATGAAGCGAGATCATGGGGTCAGAAGGTATCAAAAGCCACTAACAGGAGAAGGCAAATTGGTCTGAAAGGAGGAAGCTCCGACCCTGAATTCCAACTCCAAGGTCAGGGTTTAGCTTCCGCGAATCAAAGCCTCACGCCAATGCCAGAATGAGATTCCAACATGAGGACGCTTGCCACTAGTCGCCCCCAAAGCAAGACCAAAGGGGGCAGCTACTACCAAATCTAGATATAGCTGCATATAGCTGCCATGCTGAATTGTATACCTTCCGTAGATCACCAGCAAAGGGTGCACCAACCTACCGCGGAAATTGGATTAACAAAACAGCACATGCACAAAGTCACGAAGTCAAAGGTATTTGGCCACCAAAAGCCCATGTTCTTTTGGTACTAAAAGGTGTCACCAAGCTTACTTTCTGGGGTTTCTTCAACCAGCACTGGATTGGAGGAGCACCATCGACAGGCCCAGGCCAGCCGCGACACCAAGACCTACCGTCGCGGCCGAACACATCGACCGTCGCGACTGGTCGCTGAGGTACATCTCGGACACCACTGCCATGGCCTTGGTCTGTTTGATCATCTCTGGAGTGGTTGCAAACAGCTGCTCGGCCAGGGGCTAGGCAAGGAGAAATGGAACTGAACCGGAGGAGTGGCAGTTGTAGTAATATGTTGTAGTTGCTGAAGCAGTTTGGATCATGTTGTATTGTTTGACACCACAGAAAGCAGCTCGAAAGCATCTCCAGATCTTCCTGAAAACTCTTACTAGCATAGTGGGTCTGTATTGAAATAGGGAGACCTCCCAGCTCGACCCCCTGGAAGAGCAAATATAGACTAAGTCGGTTGGGTGTTTCCCCATCAGAACACACACCTAATATATACCTAATGTATATTATACTGTATCAGAATGTATCAGGATATCCGGGGTTTCAGCACACGAAGCTCCCATTTGACTCAGCCACGCTGCAGGTTGGATGTCTCTCTTCAATACCACCTCCGATAGCCTCTTGGCGAGTGATCCCTCGCCTGACGGTCACTTGTGGTGACAAGTGTAGCAGTAAAGCAGCCCAAAGAGGAAGGATGAGACACTCCTAACTACGCCTATCTACGCCTTAGAGCACCAAAAGGATCTGTTTGTATGTCGAGTGCAGAAGCATGTTGGGGCTATCTTTGGGATCATAAAGAACAACACTATGTTGTTAAGAAAATCCGGTTCTTTGCATGAAACGTGTTAAGATGACGGTGTTGTGGCCTAAGCACATGGTAACGATGTGAAAGCTTGCACAAGACGAGCAACAAACCAAATATCCTAGAACAGGGATCACATATTTGGGGCGCAGGAGCCAAGTGCTGGAATAGTAGCATTCAAAAACTGAATCTATTGTCGAAGCTGATGTGAGTATGTGATGTCACTCGGCATGTGAGACTCAAACAGGTTTATCCAGAAAAATACACATCCAGCATCATCCAGCATTATGCAGCTATGGTTATCAAGTGGTCTCATGGTGACGACACCAGGGGTGTTCCGTCTCGATCTTTCAAGAGGTTTTGGGGCACCTGCCATGCCCAGCACACAGTTCCCAAAGCTCATCCATGACACCCGGAGCTCGGCTCGGTCCCGTGGGTCGCCCGGTGCCCGGTCGCCGCTCGCGTCGCGCTCTTCCCGTGAGGCTTGCTCTACGTGCTCATGTGGGCACGGAAGATGGCACCCAATGACCCCGAGTTTCCGGCGGTCACTCGGGCACAGGCTCAGGCAGACCGGCGGAGAGGTCTGAAGCGGAGGACTAAACATGTGAGTTTTTGCGGTTCTTCTCCCATAAGGCCTGAAGCAGACTGGGATGGATGGCGGTGAGTTTCAGCTTCTGTTTTCTGGCCTTTCTATCGTCCATTCTCGTTCAAACGTGAGAGCGTGGTGTGGGATGGTGTGGGGGCATCTGGAAAGAATCATGGAGGTTTGAATTGTCCTTTCGTTCAGTGTCCAGTGTTCATGTCCAATTTGTTTTACTAATTACGGAGCAGCCAATTACTTACCCAAACTCAGCATGAGTGAATCAAACCATTGCCCCCCTGGAATATGCTGATGATGCTCATTCTTTGCCTATATAATATATAGTTTGCATTCAAAACGGACCTGCTGAAGCATATCATCTAAACAAACACATCAACATTGAATAGTTGTTTGATCCTAATCCAGGAATATCCAGGACTTGTTTTGTATAGGGGGAGGTCCAGATGCCGTCTCTACAACCCTCTGACAACTTCAGGACTGGATACCTTCCCTGACTTCAACAAACTGAACAACAATGAACAATCTATTGAGATAGGGGTTGGAATTTAAATCGCTACCCCCGGGGTACCCACTTAATACCAACCCCAATCTATTGAACATCTTGAAAACTATTGAAAACGACCTGACTCTTGCCAAACCCACAGTGGTGCCCCCCAAGTTTGGGAAACAAATTCCTTCCTTTTTCCTTTCGCCACCTGGCGGAGTTCCGGATTTCACCGATCGTCGTCACGAAAGCGGGACGCCCCGCCCGCTTTTTCCACCGCGTCCTTCGCCGCCAGAAGCGCGGGACGCCCAAAGTTTGCCCCGACGCATTGCTCGACCTGGTGGGGGCAGAGGCACCATCGACCCGCAGAGCAGCGGGTCGAGGTCGACGTCGTCCACGGACGACGAAGCCTGCAGGAGGTCGAAGAGACATATAAAAAAATATATGCCTGCAGGAAGCATGATTTGGGACATCTTGGGGGCGGTGTTTTGATGGATCAAATTCACGCCTGTTGAGGCAATGTTACTTTGTTTCAAGCTAATTAGTTTGGTTTGAAGCTGTATGGAGTGTTTTGAGTAAGTTGACCCACCGAAAAAGTTCTTTCGTGAACTTCACCGCGCGAGGTGAAAGTAGGCAGATCCACCAGGTCTCCCTCCGACGCCGGACGGGGTGATCTTTGGTAAGAAGATGTCGCTATGATCCTTTTGGTTGTGTCCTTTTCGAAAAACGCCGCCATGAGCCAATTGGAATTCTATGAATGTGAGGGCCTGGGTGCTTCATCCTTTTGCAAAGGAGCGTAAGCATTCCGGAGCTTCCTGTCCACCGTGGCCACTGTGCAGGCGGAAGTGGACCCAGTGAGGGAGATGCATGAGCACACCAAGCACCGAAGTCAGGCTGCGGGCTGCGGGTGCAGACTTCGGATTGCAAGTGAAGGGCCCATAGTGGACAGAACGGGACGGAATGGGATGGGATGGATGGTGTTTTTTTGCATAGACCCATAGACTTGTCCGAAGAGAGGTGCGAAATTCAGGTTATTACATGGTTAGTACAAACACATCTATGATTGTTTATGTTTTTTAGGGGGTGGGTGTTGACAAGATGAGGTGAGAGGATGGTCTTGGAAATCCGACCAGTTCAAGATCTCGCTTTGGAGATTTTGCCTTGATTGATGTGATGTGGTGCGACTGAAGATGGTGCACAATGACCGGTAGATGCTTTTGTTCCAAATGGGCTAGGCCTCAAATGGGCTGAAGATGGTGAAAGTGTTCTATGTGTGCTTCGTGGTCTCACCCCGTTCAGGAGGGAAGTTTTTGGTTTTTGAGGTCATTGGAAAATAATGTGTGCACAAGTGAACCTCAAATGATTGAATGTAATTATACCAGAACCATCCATCGGGTGTCCAATGGACTACCCAACACTACGTATAGGGATTTCGGGATCGCCGTTCGACATCCATTGGATGGTCCAGGTATATATAGGCGTGGATCAAGAACCAGACCATACACATCATGGATATGGGATTGGTGAAGGTCTCTAGGAGGATCCCGCATCTCCATAGATCCAGTCGACTGGTGGTTGATAGCTGTGACAGCGCACGAGTCTCAACCAAACGCGACTCAACCAGTCAGGGTGTTGGCTCACTGTTTCGTCTTTTGTTCAAAAGGGTTGAAAAACACATTCAGCTCTTTTGGTATGGTGCCAGCTTCGAGGCGGCCTCATGGTTCGGGTTGGGAAGTGGTTAACCTTTGTTTCCAACAGAGTGTCAGGAGCGTCAAAAGACAAAAAAGATAAGACCACTCAACTCAAGACATGCTGGCCCACTCAACTCAAGAGCTGTGACAAGACATGTTTGTGTTGTTTTCTTTAAATCAACTCAAGACTGTTTGATTCCACTCGCTGGCTCCACAGCCCCCGTCTTTGACATTGCAGCGACGAGGCCACCCGCTTCGCACACTTGGGCAGCAGATGGAAAGGCAACGGCTATGCATTTGCACAGGATCCTGGAATATATGCTCAAGCAAGGACAGTTCTTCGTTTTCATTACTCTTGAACGGTACTTTCTGGGTCAAGAAACTGACAGTAAGCTTGGAGAAAGGTGACGTGTGGACCGGAAATCTAATGGAGTTGAAGCTCTTCTGGTGAGAGATTGCCGCATTCCTAAGGTCACAATGAGATCACGGCACAAGAGTCTGATCCGTTTGGGACACCAAAGACCAATTCATGAAGCACAAGCACCTCTGACATTGGACAATTGTTTCATGTTCTCTCCCCCCCAAACCCTTTTGACCAAATATGTCACCCCAACTCTTCCTTTATGACTGTGACTCCGTCACTCCGTCCCACCGCCCGGACCCACCGGACCCGCTTCCGCAGGCGCCGCGATGGCCACCTTTGCGCCGGGCGTGACGACGAACCGCGAGGAGCGGGACCCGTTGCTGCGGAAGCCCAAGGGGTCGCTCGGCCGAGACCGCGACCGGGCTCCGGTGGAGGCAGGAGCCCCGAACGTAGCGTCCTTTGCTCCTACCCCCCACTTATGTACATGTGTGCATGTTTGGGCTGCTCGTGTCGATGGAAGAGAAGTGGGAAAGCACCCAAGAACAGTTCCAAGCAAAGTGTTTCACATGTTTTTGCAGGGCTCCAGGTGGATTGATTGGAATTCTGCCATCACTGTACGGTGATTGGATTGGCAAGAAACCAGATGAAACCAGTAGCCTTGTGTTTCCAATGTCGGGTGTTTGTTTTTGTGGTTAGTAGAGTCATCGTGCTGCATGCTTCAATCAATGTGTCCTCTAAGATGCTTTAACCACTTACTGAGGATGAAGCTGCAAGGACTGCAAGTGTAGCTGATGTCAATCTTTTTTGACAAACCCATTTCTCTAGATTTCACTGCCAGGAACCTTCAACAGGGCTCATATTTGTAAGGCCCAAGAACCTTGTCGATTGGTCCAAGAGGAGTTTACTGTGCAATATTGAGATTCAACTGATTGAATGGTACTTTGTCATTCGGTGATTACTGTATATGTGCAAACAGAAGCCTTGAAGCCTAGTTGGGCCTTCTTTGCAATTCCTTGGCGCTAGATCCATGCAGGGGGCCCCTCATTGGCTGGAAAGAACAGTACTATAGAGGTCTTGGCGACAGATGATTCTCGGCCCATTCTGGTTTGTATACTATAGTCACCTTTGCACCGACGCTGGCGATTTTGGTGCCGTGGGAAGGTTGAATGAGCAGTCTAAGATAGTCTAAGTATATGTTTTCCACTTGGGAATCCCTTTGTCTTTATCCAGCATTAATGCCACCAAGTAATTGCCACCACTCAGTACTGTACATGACCAAATTCCAGAGATTCATCTTCATCAGTGTCCTCCCCGAGGTCCACCCGAATGACTGCTCAGCGATGAGCGGGAGAACCCGAGTCATTCGGCAGTCGCCACGCGCACAACTGCCTGGGGAGCGGACAAGCGCAGTGTGCTTCGGGCGCGGCGCGGAAAAACGCGGAGCCTGAGCTGCTGATTGAGCAAGATGATCAAGATGAGTGAACAGAAATGGATACAGCATGCACAAGAAGCTCAGAAATGGAACGATTGTTGGAGAGACTTTTATTATGATTTAGTGTGGCCTTATCAACCACAGGATCACTCTGGAACCTCTCATAAAATTAACCAAATGATCAATGATATTGTGCATATGGCATTGTGTTTCGGTTTGGCAATGGACCTTTGGAGAGGACTGGAGAGGACAGGATCGCTTTTTTGGGTCAGGGATTTGCACGGATTTGCGTTCTCCGCAAGCATGAGAAACAACCGCATTGACTCAGCCGGCATTCTTGGGATTCGAGACAGTGAGGGCTTTGCCAATGGCAGCCTTCATCGACAAATCGCTTAGACACTCTTGCGTCCGTCACCGCTGCATCGCGCTGCATCACGAGCGCAAGATGTTAAAACAACTGAACGTTCAGCCGGTGCAATTTGAAGTGTCCCCCAAGAAGCTACTAGGTTGGAGGCCGTCGTAGGTTGGAGGCCATTAGTAACAAGAAGCTACGCACGGTGCGAAGTGTCCCCCCATTGTGAACCCGGTTGAAGATGAGCTCGTCTCATTCATCCGTGCCATCAGCGCGGACTCCCGAAACTGGAGGAAGGGTTGCGAAGAGGGCACCCGGGGGTAGCAGTCTTGCTTGCAGGATTTTGGTTTCGTGTATGTCCAAAAAGTTCCAAAAGCAAGGATTGGGATTGTTCAAAACTTTTCTTGTGTTTGTTGATGCTTGGGGTTGAAGCTCGGGTCCAGCATAGAAAACAAACCTTTTGGAGACGGTCCGCCACTCGAGAATTGCACCATCACAGCAATACACTTAGCCCATTGTTCGTTGGTTCTTTTCCGACGCATTGTCAGGATTCGGTCTGTCGCCAGGCCATGGTGAGAAAGGCGACGTGGCGTTCGGGTGTTTACAGTACATGTACCTTCGAACAATTCGGTGCAGAAAGAGGCTAGAGTCTCCGCTGTCAGTCGATGTGTCGTTTGATCAGCCCCTGCGGCCTTACGTGGTGGTCACTGCATGATCAAGAACCTATAGAAGCCCGAAAGCCCACAAAAACGATGACTCGATATCATAATCCCCTCAAATCATATGGGTGTTCTTTGGAAATGCATCCCACGAGCAAGCTAGGATTCTTTTTCTGGTTTTGATTGTTTTTTCATACTACACAGAGTGCTTGGCGTTTGCGAGAGCAGACCCATGGACATCATGTCTCAGGATCCGATTCATCTTGGACCCACTTTTTGAAGCTCGGAAGACCAAAGGATTGCTTTGACCTCCACTCCGATCGATCAAGGTCTATTTTTTGCACACCTCGCTTGTTGAAGGAAAAGCAAAGGGCATCGCTACCAGTAGCTCCTGGCATTACTACTAGGAACAAGAAGCTACTAGTAACAAGGGTCAGAGTCCTTGGAACTCCTTGTGGTCCAGTCCAGTCATGCCATGCGGCGCCACGACGAAACCCGGGTCGACTGACAGCACGAGCCACTGACCAGCGGCTTTTGCAAATGGACCTACTCGACGAAAAAGACATGTTGGCGATGTTGGCTTCGTTGGGGTAGGGAAAGGTGAGTAGCAGCACGTGCCAGCTTATAAATTATACTGGTACAGATAGAATAGGGATGTATTGTAGGGAGTGTCGGTGTATTTAAAAATCACACATCAACTAGGAGTTGCTGGTGCTTGGACTCAGCGGGTATCCTACATACAATCTGGAGTGACCAGGTGGGATGAGGCCCACGCTTCGGGAAGACTCCAATCGTGCACTCCATCGTGATTGGGCAGAACAGACCAGTCTTTCGTTGGGATGAGAAGCGGATTTCCCAAAGTACGCGAATGTGTTCATCTTCAGTTCACAGGACCTAAAGTACGCATGTTTCACCAAACATGTTGAGCACGACCAGGGGCTTCATGACTTTAGTATATTCCTCTTGGCTACCAGTACTTGCTCTTCTGAACTCGTCCATCGCAGTTGGGAGTGAAACATAATATGAAGTACTTGGTTCAAAGCACATGTTCTTCTCCTGTTCACTCCGCAAGTTCACAATATTGTCCCGGCACAGGCTTAAAGCAGCGGAAGAACATCAAGAAGGGCAAGAAGGGCTGACGTGAACAGCAGAAGCACCGGTGGCAGGTCGGGCCAGTCTCACCCAGACGTCGCCTGATCCGGGCGCCATCAGAAAAAGAAAAGGAAACGCCACCAGTGACATGTGACATGCCAAATGGATGGTCGTTCGTCAAAAAGAGGAAGGAATGCATGTCTAGGATATCAGGTGGCATCGTTTAAAGGTGGCCTAAAGAAGAAATGAGAACCATTTCGTGTGGAGAGGTGGTCCTCTGAATGTCGTCGGACAAACAATTGGGTAAGTCACCCGTGCCGCACCAAGGGCAATGTTTCTGTCGCACAGGGCGCTAAGGGCGCCACCAACTGCGAGGGGCGGGTGGTGGGCCAAACCCGCCGCCGAGACGGACGTTTTGGTGCACTGACATGGCGACGCGACGCCCGAAACCTGATACAGATCGCGGGCACCCGCAAGTGTTCAATTTCCTTTAACTTTGTTGAAGCAGCTTGTAACTGCCGATCCAATACATGTTCAGAGGCTCTTGAGCTTCAATACACAAAGAATAAACAACGGAGTTTACAATGAGTGGTAGCCGAAACCCACGCGATCGGCTTTATCATGTCACTCTTCATTGGGAAAGCATTCATTGCCACAACACCCACACAAACAATGTACAGAATTATAGTGTTTGAATCCAGCAGCAGACGTATCTAAAATGGAGGTAGAGACAATATTTAATCGATTCAATATATATCATTCGCCCCAACAATGGTCTGTGCATGAGTGTTTGGTGTTCCCCAAAGAGACGCACACAATCATGGAGGAGTTGGACATGTTCTTCACAAAAGAAACCCAACAGCCTGTACGGACCCTGCCGGCCATTTACGTCGCGGACGTGTCCCACTTGAGCAGAGGCGCCGGGCTGCGCCGGGCCGAGCCGTGTCCGCGCGGCAGACGGTTCTCTATTCAAGCCTTGGGATTGCAGCCAATTCGATCTCCTTTTCCCAGCTTGGACATTGAGATGACAATGGATCACATGCTTTTCGCCCACTCGTTTTCGTTTAGAGGCATGTTTGTTCCGCCGTTGGCCTGTCAATTCACACCAAGTATTTGCAGTATACATAGGAGGTGAATGCCATGGCCCCTGGCACGAGGATTACTATATATCACTATATATATTAAAGACTCATCTAAGAGTCTAAGACCCCAAACAAACATTTGCAATCCTGAAAAATCCCCAAACCGAGTCACTGGAGCTTCCTTCCACTCCAGACGCGCTGCCGCACCGGCTTGCATGGCTCCGGGGGCCGAGGGCGTCTGGAGACCTGGTTTTTGACCTGCGGACTTGCAACGGCAAGGGCGTAGGACCTGGGGACATGGAGGTGATGACATGGGCGTTGCATACTCATTAGCTACGGTTAGTTCGTCTGGTGAGTTGGTTCATTCGACAGTTAGTTGTTTAATTGGTATGTTTGTGTGTTTGTTAGACAGTTGGTTAGTTAGCTAGCTAGTTAGTTAGTTGGGTTGAGTCAAGTTTCTAGAGGTTTCTGGGTGTTTTGGGATTTTGCCTTGGGTGGGCCCTGACAGGCACGTTTGGACAAGAGCCGTCAAACACATGGTAGAATCTTTCATCCACATGGAAGGCAAACCGGTGCACTTCCGCAGTCAAACGGGGAATGCCAGTTACATGCTTTTAATGTGGAGCTGACCACTACAATGTTTTTAAGTTATAGTTATAGTTATAAGATGTTATAAGTTTTGCAAGCTAAGGCCACCCTACATGTGTGTGCGTGTGCGCGTGTGTGATTTGGAGTGTTTCTTGTGAGTTGTTCATTTTGAGTGACATCATGTGTGATTCCGATTTCGCTTCCGATTTCGCTGGTTCAAACTTCGCAACAAAGTCAAATGCATAATCCAGTTGAGACGCTTTCAGCCCAGTGCAGGTTTTTGCAGTTTGAGCACCTCAATGATAAACACCGGCATTCCACCAGCAGACCATTGACGCAGGGTCAACGAAGCCTTTCCTTGCCCCTTAGGCCTTTAGGGCAAAGCTCTCCACAAAAGATATTGTTGAGCATCCACATCGCTTCAGTCAGCTTCTCAACTGGTTTCATCATGTGTTGTCCCTGTCAAATTCATGATCGCCGAAATCGGAAGACACGCTGTTTGAATTCCATGAACCCAAAGACCCCTCTCTCTCCAAACTCCAGCCAGTCACTCCTCAACCCACCACACCACACCACACCACAACACTACACTGAAACCCACCCTTGGCCCCAACGGAAGGTCCCCACCCCACCGGGGCCCTGGGTGTGCCACGGACCGGACTCTACGGACCGGACCCGTGGTGGTGGAACAGCGCGCGCCGCACATGGAGCAGCGCTGGCCCTGGCCACAGGGCTTGGTGCGGAACATTTGCCCCTCGGTGGGTGGGTGGAGTGAGATGGGAGGGAGGCTCAGGGCTCAGAGTTGGTTGGAAGAGGTTGGAAGGCACATGGGCGGCAGCCATCAACAGCAGTGGCAGTAACGGTAACGGACATCACTTGATGGAACTACTCTAACATGAAGAAGAAGAGATTTCAAAGGTATGGTACTGTTTTGTTTTTCTGGCGGCTTTTCCCCCAAACAATGACGATCCTTCGGACTCGTCGGAAGTTACCCCAGCGCTGGTCATTTCTTCCAGTCATTCCAGTCGACGAGTGTTTCGCCCCCAGCTGACCTGTGGTGGGATGCTCAAGGATGCTGATTTTTTTTGGTCGGGTGTTTTTGTATCTGCTGGGAATATCCAAAAGTCATTGCCCTTTGTTTTGCTTTGTTTTGAAAGGAGTTCATGGATCTGTATGTATTTGACCCATATTTATCCATTGCGTTGGCAGAAGCGGGTTGCGACTTTTGCGCGAAGACACGAGGACACGCGAAGACACGAAGACACGAAGAGGCTTCAGGTCTTCAAGGCTTCAGGTCGTCAGAAGGCTTCGGGTCGTCAGAAGGCTTCGGGTCGTCAGGAGGCTTCAGGTCGTCAGAA